TCAACCCATTGTGTTTGTGCTGGTCAAACATCCATTTATTCTAATCCCATTTTCATAGGCTTGCATGTATTAGCAATTCAAGTGTTCACCTAAATAGTTCTTTAAAGTCTTAAGGTTTCTTTTAGGTCGCAAGTTCTGGATACTCACAACCTTTTGGCTAGGGCATCTTCAACAAATCCTCTCTAAACTTCCTGCTCCTTAAATCCATGTCCCCTGGTTAGACATCTCTTAAAAAGGGGAAAAGGTTCTCTTTATTAATATCTGTCTCTGCATTTCAGAACTTTGTACACTTCAATCAAATCTCCCACACAGCCTTCTTTGTTCTCAGGAAAACTGCCCTAACCTCTCTTTACAGTTAATTGCTCCAACTCAAGTAACATCATCATGAATCTCTTCTGCAGCCTCTCTAGAGCAACCACATCTTTCCTATAGTGTGGCAACCAGACTGCACATAGACCACAGCTGGGGTACTAACTAAAACATAACATAAAGGGGATGTTCACCGCTGACTGGGTAACATTCAGCACTGTTCAAGATTCCTCCGGTACTGAAGTAGTCCACATCCAAATATAAAATCTGGACAAGATCCAGGCTTGGGCTGAAAACTGGCATGTAACATTCGTGCCACACAAATGACAGGCAATGACCGTCTCCAACAAGAGATAACATAATTACTGCACCATACCAAATTGATGGCACTACCACTGAATCCACTACTATTAACATCTTGGGGTTATTATTGACCAGAAACTGGACTAGCAATGCAAATACAGTGGCTACAACAGCAGGCCAGTGGCAAGGAATCCTGCAGCAAATAACTCATCTCCTAACTCCCCAAAGCTTGTCCACCATCTAGGCACAAGTCAGGAGTGTGATGGAATACTCTCCACTTGCCTGGATGGGTTCAGCTCCAATAACTCAAGAAGCTCGATAACATCCAGGACAAAGCAGCCCCCGCTTGATTAGCACTTTACCCACAAACATCTATTCCCTCCATCACCAACTGTCAGTATCAACAGGGTGTACCATCTACATGATGTGCTGCAGAAATTTACCAAGGCTCCTTGAACAACACCTTCCAACCCTATGACCATTTACATCTTGAAGGAGAAAGGCAGCAGATACATGGGAACACCACCCCATGCAAGTTCCCCTCCAAGCTACTCACCATCCCGACTTGGAAATACATCGCTGCTCCTTCAGTGTAGCTGGGTCAAAATCCTGGAATTCCGTAAGGGCATTATGGGTCTATTGACAACTGATGGACTGTAGCGGTTCAAGAAGGCAGCTCATCACCACCTTCTCAAGGGCAAATAGGGACAGGCAATAAATGCTGGTCCAGCCAGTGATACCCATGTCTCACAAGTGAATAAAATACAGCTTTAGCATAGCTTTTTTTTTTAAAAAAAACTTTTTGCCTGCTGCAGAGGCAAACGTTCACCATTTACAGCACCAGAGTATACACAGTTCCCTAACTCAAAGGGTTTTGCCACATCAACTGAATTGGCACCTCCTATTGTCTTACCACCATTTAATATCTCCTACATTCCTCCAATTCCAGTCTCTTGTGCATCCTCTGACGTCCACTGTTGCAATATGGAATCATGCCTGAAGCTGCCTGTGCAATAAGCTCTGGATTCTCTCCACTTCTATCTCCTTCTCTTAAGGCACTGCTTAATACCTAGCTCTTTTACCAAGTCTCTGATCACCTGTCCTAATATATCTTTAGGTAGGCTACTATCAAATTTTATTTGTTAACACTCCAGAAGTACAATGGGATGTTTTTCTATATTAAAGGCACTATATAAATGCAAGCTGTTGATGTGGAGTGCCTGAGAATCGCCACTCATCGACAGCCTCCAGTACATAAAGGTTTAGATTCACCTTAACAACAGTTGGGCCCTGCCAAATGACTGCACTTTGGGATAATGCGTGGGAGTTATTTTCATTGTTTCATGGGCTGTGCGTGTCACTGGTAAAGACAACATTTGTTACTTGTCCCTAAGTGCCCTTGAAATGAGTGAAACCAGAGCATCCGGAGGAATCCCACACAGACACAGGGAGAATGTGCAAACACCACACAGACAGGTGCCCGACGCCAGAATCGAATCCAGGTCCATCATGCTGTGAGGTAGCAGTGCTAACCACTGAGCCACCGTGATATATTAGAGCTACATATTAGTGAAACAGATGAAATTTTAGTACAAAAAGATAATTTATCATTGCGGAGACTAATTTCAGATACATTAACTGAATTCAATCCACTAGCTGCAATGATGGGATCTGTATCAATGCACCCAGAGCATTAGTCTGAACCCTGGTTTACGACCCCAATAACATCATCATTATGCAACTACCTCCACTATATTTCAAGGTGTGGTAAGTGCAGTCTACTCGAGACGAACAGTTACTGATGCTCTGCTCACCTCATGTTTGGGCCTCTTGTAGACTCATTGCTTGCTAGCTACAACTGGTCAACAATCCAGCAAGTTGTACATTCCAAGGGACTAACCAAGACCAACAACATTTCAAAAGAAAAACAAGGCTTAATTCATCATCTACTTATTTCAGACATTTGGCACCAAGGGAAATTTGCTTGTTCGAGTGAGAGATTATCGACACAGTCTGCATTAATGAGCTCCACTGTTTTCAATAAAAATAGCCCCTGGGTAGGAATGAGTAGTTTGGCAGCAGTGGTGGTTAAGCAGAATAGCCTCTGTCATAAGTTAATAAGGGGAAAAGCGAAGAAGGAGAAAACACTCCTGATTACTATTTTCCAGCAAAGGCTGTAAGAACTGTGCATGCATATTTTGCCCTTTAGTGCTGCAGTTGTCTTGTGACGGTCTTATGGTTAAACAGCATTAAATCTGTCCTGACTAATGATGCCTTCCGAGGGAGAGTTTGGAGCCACCAGTTCTGTCCCAGCAAAAACAAACTCCGCGCATATGCTGACAACGTGCGAGCAACGGAAATCTCGCAAGAATTTAAAAAAATTAAAATAGCTGGAGCAGTGGAACTGTGGGAGGAGCAGACATGTAGCGTGGCAAGAGGTTACCATCAAGTCCTCGGTTCACAACAGCAGTCCCCTGCAATTCTGTCAGTCCATCCTTCTAAACTGCATCATGCAAATAACCCATCCCTCCTTTACCAGCTTCACTTCTTGCTGAAGGCTTCATTCTACCTAAAATCAGTAAGTGTGTCAGAGCAATCACACTCCGATGTAATTACTGCCTAAAACAGCCATCACACAGCAGACAGGCAAGGAGGGCTGGCACATAACTGCCATTCATAAAAACCTAACAATGATTTTGAAGGAGGCAGTCTTAGAGTGGTGATAAATCTCCTGCTAAAAATTACCAGCAGCATGTGATATAAAAGGCCCCTGATTAAATTAGACTCAGTAAAAGGTTTAAATCTCAAACCTTCAATCAAGCTTCATAGTTATGTTTTTCACTCTCCTCCCATCCATTCTTAAAAAGGAATTCACTCAGCTCCTGTACTCATGTGAGCTGCTTGCTAGAATCAATGTTTGTAAACTGGAATCCCTGGGAGTGTCAGTAGACTGTTTAAAAGGGTAAAGTACACGAGGAAATGGGGTTGGGTCAATCCAAGGGAGTGCATCAGTATCTGTGAGGGTAGGATTTCACAAGAGGTGTGTGTGTGCGGGACATGGTGCGCGTGCGTGCGCGAGAGAGAGAGCGTGCGCGAGAGAGAGAGAGCGTGCGCGAGAGAGAGAGAGCGTGCGCGAGAGAGAGAGAGCGTGCGCGAGAGAGAGAGAGCGTGCGCGAGAGAGAGAGAGCGTGCGCGAGAGAGAGAGAGCGTGCGCGAGAGAGAGAGAGCGTGCGCGAGAGAGAGAGAGCGTGCGCGAGAGAGAGAGAGCGTGCGCGAGAGAGAGAGAGCGTGCGCGAGAGAGAGAGAGCGTGCGCGAGAGAGAGAGAGCGTGCGCGAGAGAGAGAGAGCGTGCGCGAGAGAGAG